AGCAGGCAGATGGTCCAGGCAAGGTTGGGAAAAGGAGGCAGCAAAAGTGAGAGCTTCAGCCCCCAGAAGGCTGGGGTCCACTGTGTGCAGTCCTGCAAGGGCAAGCCAAGTCCCAGGAGGGGATACACTTGAGAAGGTGGCAAAGGCAATGCCCCTATGTCACCAGGAGTTAAAGAAAAGAACACATTAAGATTTTATAATCTGCTCTTGACCTCCAGGACAGCTCTACAAGGGAGATAATGCTGTTCCCATCTTAGAAACTGAGGCTCAGAGAGATGAAACGTTTTGGTCAAAGCCACACAATTAGGGAGCAGCAGAGCCAGCCCCAAACAGAGGCTTCCTGACCCTCTCCAGTGGTGTTTCCTCCATATCCTGATGCCCAGCAGGAAGGAAGTGGTGACAATACTGTATGACTGACTTCTTCATTTTGTTTTTAGTTTTCCTTTGTTTAGAGTGGGAGAGATTTGAATGTTTGTTGGCTGAGAGGAGCTCTTCCTTCTGAAAGAGTTCTTGGCCTTATTTTAAAAGTTGTTTTAAATTATTTTCAAATTTACCAAAAAAATGCAATGAATACAAAGAACACTTATCTTTTTTGTTTTTTGTTTATTTGTTTGTTGAGACAGGGTCTCAATATGTAGCTCAGACTAGCCTTGAACTCACTATATAATCCAGGCTGGCCTGGAACTCATGGCGATCCTCCTGCCTCAGCCTCCCAAGTGCTGGAATTACAGGCGTGTGCCACCACATCTGGCTATCACTTATCTTTTTTAAACCAGATTCTGCAGCTGTTAATATTTACTTATATTCATATCCATTATCATTTTTTTTTCAGATCAATTTGAGAGCAAATTGCAGACATGATGCCATCTTACCTCTTAATATTTCAATGTGAGCTGGGCATGGTGGCGTACACATGTAATCCCAGCCCTTGGGAGGGTGAGGCAGGAGGATCACTGTGAGTTTGAGACCAGCCTGGGCTACATAGTGAGTTCCAGGTCAGTCTCAACTACATAGTGAGACCCTGTCTCAACCCCCCCAAAAAAATTTCAATGTGTATTTTTCCAAACAAGTACAATGTTCTATAAACTTCATGTAACCCTACCAATCAGGCAACTAACCTTGATACAACACTGCCATCCAATCCACAGACTCCATTCAAATTTCAACAAATATGCAATGTCTCCTTTTCCTTTTTTAGCCCAAATCCAAGATTATGCATTACAATTGTTTACTGAGTCTTTTTTTTTTTTCTTTCAGTACCAGGGATTGAACTCAGGACCTTGCACTTTCCAGAAAGGCGTGGTGCCACTGAGCTGCATCCCTGGCCCAAGTCTTGTTAATTTGTTTCAGTATGGAACATTTTCTTGCTCTTGTCTTTCATGACTTGGACAATTTCAGAGTGTGGTCTTTGATTGATTCTGTAGGATATCACTCAACATAAGTCTTTCTGGTGTTTCATCAGGTTTAGACTTATAAATTCTTGGCAATAATATCACGCGTGCGCACACACACACAATTCTGTTGTGTTCTCAATGTATTACATCAAGAAACACATGATGTCAACCCATCCTACCAATGATGATGTTAAACTTGTTTGGGGTACTATCTGCTGGTTTCTTCCACTATAAGTCACCATGTTTGTCTTTGTAAATAATTAATATTTTCCAGGTAAATACTCTGAAACTACTTTAATATGCTGTTCTCCACTGAACCTCCAACAACCCATTTTCGTATTCATTGCTGAATACTACATGAGTCAACAGTACCATGATAATTGCCAAATGGTGATTTATTTTCATTAATGTCTTTGCATGTATTTGTTGGCATTGTCTTATAAAGAAGAACTCTCTCTATATATCTCAGTGTGAATTCTTATTTCTTTTTTTGGGAGGGTACTAGAGCTCAAACTCGGGTCCTTGCACTTGAGAAGCAGGCAGCACAACCGCTGAGCTAAATCCCTGGCTGAATTCCTATTTCAATTAATGGGTTTTAATCTGTCGCGAGCCGCTTGTCAGTAAGAAAGTACGTAATATTCAGGATCCTTTTGAAGTTTCTTTATTATCTTGGGAGAAGGTTTAAAGTTTTTATAAAAAACCTTTTTTTATATATTTTGTTAACTATATTAACTCGACAGAAACAAGAAGTTATAAGATCACGATTATAGCACATTCCGATCACTATCAGGGGAACAAACTTTAGGCAGGGAGCAACCATAAAAGCAATGTCGCCATCCCAGAATAAACATCTTGATCAAGGATGACTTAAATAAAGAACTTCTGCAAATAAGCCACAATCCCAACACAGCTCAGCAAATAGGAGACTGAAATTCCTCACGATGATTTGGCAGCCTGCAGTGTCTGTAGACCAAAGTACTCCACATTAATCCATTGTTATCTTTATTTTAGTGTACAAATTTGTCCCAGATTTGACCAGTGGCCTTCCTTAAAGCTGGATTCTGTGTCCTTTTGACATGTCTCCATTATTTTTTAGCATGTTTTAACCCCCCACACCCTGTGTGTAAGAGTTGAACCTAGGAGCTTGCTTGCTCGTGCTACATCCCCAGCCCTTCATATTTTTTATTATGAGATGGGGTCTCACTAAATTGCCAGTGCCAAACTTGAACTTGTAATTCTCTGGCCTCCATGTCCAGAGTAGCTGAGATTATAGGTGTGCATCACTACACTGGGCTACTTTTGGGGGGGCGGTACCAGGGATCAAACTCAGGTCCTTGCGCTTGCCAGGCAGGCATAGCACCACTAAGCTACATTCCCGGCCCTCTTTTTTATTTACCAATGCTGTAAAAATATTTGGGGTTCATCTTGTACTTTCCCCAAGAAAGGCTAGGCAACAGGAATATGTTGCCGAGGTTATGCCAAGGCCACACTGAAGTCATACCACAGAAACTTGCCAGTGAACGTGTTCTGCCAGCACCATGCACTCCTCAGGAGCTGCAGGTGCAGTGACTGTAGCATGAACTCTCTCCTTGGGTCTTGTCTGCGTTCCAGGATTCAGAGTCCACTTGGGAGCATTCCAGGAACTTTGACTTCGGCCAAATGCTTACTCCCAGGCTGTGCAAAGTGGGAGGAAAGAGAAGTGCTCCCCAGCTGCTATGAAGGGACCAAAACTCATCCTGCCAATACTGTCCTATGGGAGCCTTGCAGAAATAGGAAGATGATTTGGATCCTGTGTAGCCTACTTCGTAGTCGGGGAGATATATGTACAGGGATAAACCAAGGGAAAAGGTGGTAAGACTTGGTCACCAAACCCATGGCATGCTGGTAAATGTTTAACAAAAGCTCAGGGGGGAAAAAGCCACTTATTTCTGTTGCATAAATGGCCTATTGCAAACATAACATCCCTGAACATAGGGTTGAAAAGAAATGTGCGGCAGGGCCAGGGCTTTAGTTCAGTGGTTCTGCTGCCTGCCTCGTGAGCACAAGGTCCTGAGTTCAATCCCCAGCACCAAAAAAAAAAAAAAAAAGTGCAGCAGCACACCAATATACAGCAGTGGTAATAGTAAAACACAGCAAATAAGGAGGAAGTAATGAGTATCATCATTTATCACCTTTGCATTTTTTTTTCCAAGACAAGGTCTTGCTATGTAGTTCAGTTTGGTCTTGAACTCACTATGTAGCCTCACAGCGATCCTCCTGCCTCAGGCTCCCCAGAGCTGGGATTACAGGTGTGCGTCATCATGCCAGAGTTTTTTTTGTTTTTGTTTTTTGGTTTTTGTTTCGAGACAAGTTCTCACTAAGTTGCCCAGGCTAGGCTCAAATTCATGATCCCCCTGCCTCAGCCTCCCAGAGTATTGGGTGTACAGGCAATCTCAACCATGCCCCACTGAACTCATCCATTCTTTTACCACCTACCTGGACCTCAGACCAGGGGTTTTCAAACCCTCTTAGAGCTCATCTTCTGTGGCAGAGGCACAGGATCAGAGGCTGAAGGCCTCTGGGGAGGACATGTGTGAGGCTCCAGCACCTGCTTCCATCCTAGCACTTGGATTCAAATAAGCTTCACATATTACAGGTAAGAGTTCATTTGAAAAAAAAAAGGGTTCCATTGCTTAAAAACAAACACTTCAAATGAACCATTTTGGTATAATGGGATGGCTCATCTTAGTCAAGTATTCTCAAATCCACTTGCTTCTTTTCTTTAATTACTTCTACTGATGTTTATTGAGCACTTGCCTTGTGCCTGGCACTGAGGGTAAAACAGTGGATAAGACAGATTGTCCCTTCCTGGAAAGCTTATAGTTTGGAGGAATGACAAATGATACTTGCAGAAATTAAGAAACAATGTTTTTTCCCTTTCTCCTTACTTGTCCTTTGATATACATCTCAAATGCCATGAATTTTTAAAATTTTGTTTTTGTGTTTTTGAGGCAGTCTCACTATGTAGTTCAGGTTGGCCTTGTACTCACTCACTGTGTGGCCTAGGCTAGCCTTGAACTCATGACCATCCTCCTGCCTCAGCTTCCTGAATGCTGAGATTATAGGCACGTACCACCAGGCCCAGCAAATGATATGGATTTTTATAAAACCTTTTGATTTTCCTTTCCTTCTCACTAGAACTCCCGTCACATAAGTCTTTGTGTGTGGAGGATGTTTTTCCTGTTCATCATCCATTCCCTCACCTTGGAACATTCTTTGGTGAACAACCTTATCTTAGTTACTTTTTTGTTGCTGTGATACAATACCTGACACGAATAACTCTAAGGAGGAAAGATTTATTTTGGCCCAGTTTGTAGAGGTTTCAGTCCTAGTTGGCTGGCTCCAAGACAGGGTGGCATAGCAGAGGAGAAAGAACTTCTGGCATGGTAGCAGAAAGCAGAGAAAGATTAAGAGGGGAGGGAGGGGGTCAGGGATTTAGCTCAGTGGTTCCCCCACCTGCCTCACAAGTGCAAGGCCCGAGTTCCATCCCACCTCCCCCCACTCCACCCCTACCCTGTACCAAAAAAAAAAAGGGGGGAAGGAGAGAGACCCTTCCAGGCCCCTAGTGACCCATCTCCTCCAACCAGACTTCACCTCCCAATATCACATTTAGCTATAAATTCATCCAGCCCACTGGTTAGTATCACACCCACCTACCCAATCTCCTCCCCAAAGCCTCACCTCTGATCTCATGGGGTCTTAGAAAGACATTTAAATATAAACTATAACAAACCTCTCCCTCCCCTTCTCTCTCCCAGCTCTTGAGTTCCAATTGGTCTCCAGGAATGCACAAGTGACTTGGGGTAGCCAATGGCAAACAGAACCCCCTCAGCCACAGCGATTGGATCAGGTTTGGCCAACCCTCTGGCTATAATGATTGGATTGGAATGGATAAGTGACCCCACAATGGCTCACAATGAGTCCCAGACATGTTCCAGAGCCTCAAGAAGCAGATATTCTCTTTTCAGCTGTATTGAAGGAGATGTAGACATAGAATTTGTGGTGGCATTTTTATATGCTGTGGAGAGTAAGGCCAACATGGAGGAAAGAACATCCAAGCTATGAAAAGAGACTGTATCCTTGTGAAACTCAATGCTGGATCAAGCTACAACTAAAACCTGACCCTTGAAAGCCTGGCCCTTCATAAATTTTCCCCTTTTGCTGAAATAATTTTAGGTATACTTTTTCAAAAGAATACTGATTCACTAGCACAGCAATTCTGATGTGGACTACTTAAGAGCTAAGGGCTAGTATGTCTTTGGTCCCACCCCATCTACTATATAGGAGCACTACTATCTCTCAAGTTCCTCCCAAGTTCTCAATCTCCAGGAGACCCCTCATGGGTGGTCCTCAAGCTAATATCCCAGATGTCTTTTGGCTCCGCTAAGCTCTTTGGGGAAGAGGAAACCCTGTTTCAGCAGAAGCAGGGAATGGGAATACACTTTCAGCCAGCCGCAAGGCAGCTGAAAGATGGTCACAGTTGATGTTGGGAAAGCCCTTGCCCTCTTGCATCACTTAAGGTCTGGGTCCAAGAAGCTGTGACTCCTGTGTCCCATCCAGGGACACACAACTTACATCAGTCTCCACAACTCCAGCTATGGTGCATTTGCCTTGTGCCACGTATTACACCAGACATTTAAAACTCTTTCTCAGATGTAATCCTCAGAGCAACTTGAGGAGTAGGGATAATTCCATCACCCCCCTGAACAGATGAAAAACTGAAGCTCAGAAAGTTCAGTCACTGAGCTAGGCATAGTGGCCTACCTATAATCCCAGCTACTTGGGGCCAGCCAGGGCAAGGTAATAAGACTTCCATTACTTACACACACACACACACAATTCAATGACTAAGCCAAGACTGCAGGTAGTCAGTGAAGAATCTGGGGCTTCAGGATGTGCATCAGGATTCCTTTATGAACCGTGGTCCCTAAGGACTGGCAGATAGTCGCAGAGAGAAGCCTAAGCTGGGAGAGAGTTGAAGAAGGGACATTTGGAGCTGTAGGAAGTTGAAGTGGGAGGCTGCCTGAGCAGAATTTGGGCTGTCTGGCCCAGCTAGAGAGAGGGAGTGTGTAATGCAGGATCCATGTGACCAAGGGATTTTCCGACCTAAAGACTCAGGCTTGACAGGTGGGGACGGTTGGAGGGGCGGGGCTCTCTGTGTCCGCCCACATCCAGGTGAGGCGCCAGCACCCGGCTGGAAGGGAGGATGCGCCCACGCAGTGCTCTGGAGGTGTAAGGTGCCCTCGGCTCTGGGGCTGTCCGCGGGGCTTTCTTGGCGCCCGGGTCCTTTCTGGCTTGACGGGCAGGGGCTGGAGAGGAGGGTGCCGCGCCCTGCCCAGCCCAGGTGTCCTCTCCGGGGGAGGAGTTTGGGAACCAGGCAGCTGGAGATTCCGGCTGCACTGGGAGGCAGGCGGCCGACTTCGTGGGAGAGAAGCGGGCAAGAGACAGAGGCCAGGAGCTCAGTGAGCGCACAGGGCAAGTAGAGGCGCAGGGCCGCTAACATGTTCTCCCGAAACCACCGGAGCCGGGTCACCGTGGCCAGGGGCTCAGCCCTGGAGATGGAATTCAAGCGCGGCCGCTTCCGACTTAGCCTCTTCAGCGACCCGCCCGAGGTGAGAGACCGCGTCCCAGTCCCGCCCTCCCTGGCCCAGCACACAGCCTGGCTACCTCTGCCTTCTGCAAAGCGTTCGAGTACTGCCGAGGGGAGCAGCCACGGTGCGGGTGCAAACTGACGCGAGTTGTTGATTTGAAAGTAAGGGGTGGACAGTCGGCGCACGAGCCGCACACATTCCCCGGCCTGGTTTGATTTGTCCTCGCCTGGAAAACCTCCTGCTTGGCCTCGATTTGAGGGGGTCCGGGTTTGCTTCTCAAAATGTTCCTGGAGGAAGCCCCTGCAGGGCATCTCCCAGCCAGGGAAGAAATGGAGAACAGCCAGGAGGTTTCCAAAGGCTCCGGCAGCCCGCAGGTTCGGGCCAACCTCTACCATCCATCCCCCTGGACTTTTATCTGCCACTGTGCTGAAGCCTCCCGGGTGGCCTCCAAGGGCAGCAAGGGTGTGTGATGGGGGCGTATTTGACTCTTTGGAGTTTTTTCCGACTCTTTCTTGGGGCTTAAGGGGAATCTAGCCTCTAAGCTGGGTGCTTCCTCCCATTCACCAGTCTGCAACTCTCATGCCCCACTGAGGCACCTGAGCCCTACCTGCAACCCCCTGGAGAGGCTGAGGAGGGACTGGAGGGGTGCAGCTGAGCCAGGACAGAGGGTGCACAGCCACGCAGCGACCACACTTGACCAAGGAGAGTTCATGCCAAGCTGTCTTCTCCAGTCTGTGAAAGGGTTAAGTGAGGTGGGCCTTCCTCCAGCCCCTCACCCTCCCTGCTGGGATTCCAGGCCTGGCTTCTGCCCTTTCCCTCCAGGCTCCCCAGAACAAAGGCCTTTTCACACCCGTGTCCCAGGCCTTGTCTGAGTCAGAGGTTAGTGGACTGGGGGAGAGAGATTTTTGTCTCCCCACCCCCAGGAGCTCGGCCTGAAAACCACGAGTGGGACAGGCGTGGGGAAGTGAGGGGCGAGGCCCGGGAACAGGAGGACGGGCCTGTGAACCGGCTCCCCTCGGGATCTGCCAGGTCTTTCGGAGCCAGGAGTCGGGGCGGGGCCGCAGGGCCCGGCCTGCTGCCACCCGACAGAGTGTGACTCCGTGGGCCTGGGGTGGAGGGGGGGCCACACTGCAGCTGGTTGGGACTCGGAGCTGGTTTCCTGTCTGGAAGGGAAGGGGCCCGCGGAGGGGAGTGGGGGCAGCAGCAGACAGGCACACCCCTGCCTCGCTCCCTCCTTCTCCTCTCTTCGGCTGGAAAAGCGAGGTAATTGTGAGCCCAGGGTGGGGCGGGCTGGATGGGGGCCCGAACTGGAAGAAGGATGGCCTCGGGGCCTGGACTCACCCCTTTGTCCCACTCCCTGTGCTCATCTCCGTTCAAGTCCCCACTTCTGTTGCTCTTCTTGCTAACTTTCTCAAACTAAGCCAGACTCCTTCTCCCAGAGCTCCAACCTCGGGACAAACCCCGGGACTATATGAAACCCCAAAGAGGCGGGCCCTCCCTGCCCCCTTCCAGCTGTGCCTGCCCCTCACCGCCCTCTCCTCGCGCAGATTCTCTGTCCACCAGGCCAGGGCTGTGGGCGGGAGCTGGGGAGGGGCCAGGGTGGGAATGAAAGAGCCTTTTTCTTCCACAGCTGGGAGAACAGCTGCCACCAAAGCAAGACTGGACACTCTGTGCCCATAGTCCCCTCTGCAGCTGGCCTCTCCTCCCAGACCCCTACTTATCCCCATCTCACTTTCCTTTCCTCCCCTCCTGGCTCCTACTGGGGTTTTGGAACAGCAGTAGGTGAGGAAATTTTATCACCGCAGCCAGAGGGTCTAATAGGAGTGCAAAGGGAAAGGGGCAGCCTCTCCCTTCTGCCCAAGAGCTGGCCACCTCTCAGAGACAGGGGAGCAGTGGGAGGAGTAACTGTGGGACATCGTGGTGCCACCTGCCCCCCAGGGGTTGCCAAGAGAAAGGGCTCTGGGGGGCACAGAGATGCAGGACAGATTGCACATCCTCGAGGACCTGAATATGCTCTACATTCGGCAGATGGCACTCAGCCTGGAGGTAATGCCCTTATCCTGGACTACACACTTCCTCTGCTTGCACCCCAGCCTGCATCTGCCTTCCTTGTCCCTGCTGGGGCTGGGGGAGGGTGGGGTTTGCTCAAAGTGGGGAGAGGGACAGGTGATTCTTTATGCCCTATGTTGGAGGCAGTGTATGGACCTAGGCCCAGTTCTGCTAATCAGAACATTATGTTGACAGCAGTGTTTTCATACCTATTTTTGGAAGCTCTATGGGTGGGTGTGGATGTCTTCTGGGGATAAGGGCTCCTTTTAGGTAAGTGATGAAGAGAGGCGTTCAATGTGAGAGAGGTTCTCAGGAAGGATGAGAAGACAAAGGAGATTCTGGGCAAGGAGTAAAAACCCTGTTGGCTTCAAAGATGGTGAGGTGCTGTTTGTTCATAAATTTATCCTTTTTTATTTTTTAATTTTTTAAGTCAGGGTCTTACTGTGTAGTTCAGGCTGGTCCTCAACTCACTATGTAGCTCAGGCTGGCCTCAAACTTGTAGCAATCTTCCTGCCTTAGCCTCCAGAGTGCTGGGATTACAGGAGAGCACCACCACCCTGGCCTCTTTTTAATTTTTTGAGACAGGGTCTCACTAAGTTATCTCGGTTGTCCTTGAACTTCTGAACTTCCTATCTCAGCCTCCCAAGTAGCTAGGATTACAGGTGTGTACCAACCTGCCTAGCATTTATTTATTCTTAAACACATTTATTAAACACATGTTATGTGCCAAGTTCCTATCTAGACCATGGGATACCTAAGTGAACAAGACAGGAAAGATCCATTCTAATTTTAGAATATGTATTGCTGAAGCAAACACAGGAAAGGTCCATTCTAGAGGGAGAACAAACAATAAACATACAAACCATAAATAATATCACATAGTAAACATATGATGAAATGGGGAATGTAAACAAAATTAGTGGGAAGGGGGGGATAGGTGTGGAAGTCTGTGAGGATTTGCAAATATGAAGGTGGGAGAAGGCTTTCCAGATAGAGGGCTAGCAAGGGCAAAGGTCCTTTGATGAAGGAAAGAGAGACAGTGTGGCTGGAATACAGTAGTTGAAGTTGAGTTGATGGGCATGGAAGATCACGCAAGGCCTTGAAGGCCTTGGTAAGGTACCTAAGATTTCACTCTGTGTGATAGTGATCTGTAAAAGTGTTTTAGGCAGAGGAACAATGCATCTAAACTTTTAAATGATAGCTGCTGTGAGAATGAACTGAGGCCTTGGGGGGCCTTGGCAAGAAAAGTAGCAAAAGATCACCTGGCCAGTGGTCATGTTGCAGTCATGGAGTGAACCTGATGGTATAGATGAGTGCTTGTGGTGGAGAAAGGGAGAAGAGGTGCATTTTAAATGATGGTGGCAAATCTCAGGGGACTTGCTGATGGATTGGACCTGAGTGCGAGATAGACAGAGAACACTAGAATGGTTTTCAGGTGTGTGGATGAGCAGCTGGATGGTTTAAACCTGTAATGAGAGGGGGAAGATGGAGAAAGCTGTGGTAGCGATTGCCTGGACCAGGCAAGGGACTGCTGCTAAGGGAGGTCAGAAACAAGAGTGTGGAGCATAGCAATTTATTGGACATTTGCTGCTTGCCCAGTCCTGCCCCCACTCCCTAGATCAGAGTGGACATTTCTAGTCAACCATAGCACTCTTTACCAGTGAGCCCAGACGTCATAACAGACTTGGTATAAATTGTGTAGGGTATGTCCTCTTTATGATGCCACACAGAAGCAGGAGTCTTGTCTGGGTTCAGCTGCTTCAGGAGGGGACACTTTAATCTTTTTGCCTGGAGAGAGCCAGCATTTTCTGTTTTGCAGAAAGGTGCCAGATGAAGCCCCAGGGATTCTGACATTACCTAATTGTCTTGTATCAGCCCATGAGATAAAACCTATTTGTTATTCATAGTCCTCTGCACTTTATTACTATTTACATGTGACCATTTCAATTTACTTTTAGTTAATTAAAATGGAATAAAACATTTCATTTCTCAGTTGCTGTAGCTACATTTTAAGTGCTAGGTGACCACTGAGCATGTCCATCATTGCAGAAGGTTTTTTTGGACAAAGGTGGTCTAGGTATATAAACGTTTTAATTCTCCATCTTGTGCTCTGCTCCCTGCCCAATAATGTAACTTCTCTCCATGGGAGGCCTTACTAAGATCTGGGAGGCATAGAAGGTCCTTAGTTTTCATTTTGGTTAACTCTCCTTCAGCCATAGGCTGAAGGTGTTGTGATTCTTTCTCCACTAAATTCAGGAGATCCTCAAAAGAGAGGACCACTGATGTTTCTGGGATTGATGAGGAGAAAGGTAGTCCGGGAAGAATAAGTCTGAGACTTTGTCAGGGAGGCAATTTAAGCTGCAAGTAAAAGGGAGGAAGAGCGAGAGAAGCTTATTTTTAAATATGTGTTAGGCCCAGGTAGGTTAGCCTTTCCCATTTAATGCTCAAATAATGCTATGGAAGGAAGTGAAATACCCCCACTAAGACTCCAGAGGTTGAATACACACATCTTGTCAAGTCCCTAACCTAGAATTTGAACTTAGCCCTCGTGGAGATTCTGAAGAGAACAGAAGGTAATAAGCAGAGCTGGAAGTTAGGGATAGAAAAACAGTGGGAGGAGTGGGAAGGGACTTCCACAGAAGGCCTAATGTGTGCCGGGGCGTCTGCATCCTTTTCAGTCCCTGAGGGTCTGACCCAGGTTCAGCTGACATTCAACTCTGGGCTCTTTCCCAGGAGCCTGGGGGAATTGCTGTGCACTCAGAGACCCAGTGTGTGAACAGCAGGGAGGGAGCAACGAAGGAGCTACCCCTGCTGTGGGGACTGGGTTGAAGTACAGAGATCCAGAGCCTGAGCCAGGGCCCCAGATGCTCTACTCAAAAGGGTGGGAGCTGGTTTTCTTGGGCACTCTTGGTTATGGGCTTGGGAGAGTAGAATTGGGGCAGGAGGGTAGTGGGCAAACAGGTAGAGCGGTTCCAGGTCCCCAGTCTTGTTTGTCCGTGTTGGACCCAGCGACCTTTCCAGGACCCCAGTTTTCCTACTTTACACACCACCATCCCCCAGGCCTCCGGGGAAGGGGTCACCTTGCAGGGCAACCACAATGCGAGAGTGGCCTTCAGCCTCTCAAGGGCCCTGAGCCCATTCCAGGGCAATGCAGGTGCTGCCCGAGGTCCTGTGCCGCAGGGTCTGCGTGGTTGAGATGCCCAGAGCCAGAATCCTAGCACTGCCAAACTCCGGGAGGAACTGCCCATGCCCTGGAGCCCCCGGGCCGCTCTCGCGGCAATTGAGATCTGATGTCACGGCGCCCTGAGCGCTGGCGGAGGCGGCACGGCGGCTGCAGTATGATTTCCCGCTGCCCTCCTTCGGCCCAGCCGGCTCCAGGCTAGTGCTGCTCCTTGGTCTCCGTGCGCCCGCACAGGCAATGGACAGGGCTAGGGAAGGAACCGTGAGTGCTGGGGATTGGGGCAACGGAAGCTAGCCTGGAGGGGTCCCCTCTCTTTTGGGGGTATTTGGGGCAGAAGCTGTACGCAGAGTGGGGCAGGGGTTGGCAAGCAGTGGAATTTAGCTGAGGTAGGTAGGACCTTAATGCAGAGGAAGCTGGGCTGGAAAGATCTATGTAATCTGGGAGGGCTTCCTGGCAGAGGGGGCTCTGGGTCTGGGTTGGTCTGTGTCAGAAGGGAAACCGGTGCTTGGTGCTGGGGTGAAGGATGATGAAAATCCGACCTGAAACAGTGCCTCAGAAAAAAAACTATATAACGAAGGGTGGATTTGCAGGCAGGTTGGACAATTATTATTATTATTATTTTTTGAGACAGTCTTGCTATGTAGCTCAGGCTGACTTTGGACTCATATACTCCTCTTGCTTCAGCCTCCCAAATTCTGGGATTACAGGTGTGTACTACGGTGCCTAGCTGGACAAAGGATCAGGGATGTGTGAGGGAATTCAGGGTGTTCAAGTCTTGTATACTTGAAAGCTGTAGATATCAGGGACAGAAGCAAAAGCATAATAAGATGTGGAGGAAAACTGGGGTGAGAGGAGAGAAGATAGGTTTGGGGAGGTCATATACATCCCCCTCTTCCCACTGGATGCTTCCACTTGCCTGGTTTCCTGAACTCGTGTGCACTATGGGTTAGTCTCCCACCTCCTTTCCAAAGTCTCCTGTGGTTGTTTCATCTAGCAGCAAACAGGATCTGTTTCCTGTGAGTGACATGGCACTTAGGGAGCAGCCATTAATGTCTGCATCTTTCATCTCCCAGCTGGATTTCAAATAGAGCCATGGACAGCACAGATACTCCTGTACTCATTGGAGGAACCCTGGTGCTGCCAAAGTGGCATCATTATTAACATACCCATCCCTATCATTCACACATACAGTACTGTGTGCTAGCATTGTGCTGAGTCCTTGTCTCATAGTCCTAGGATATGGG